TAGCAAGTTGTTTCATTCTTCTTGTTGTACGAGCATCCGTCGTGTTCGGTTGTGTTTCGTGTTGTGCAGTAAATTTGTTTGAGTTTTGTTCTAATTACATTTAAAAATATGTTTTATATGATAAGTAATATTAGAGATAAATAAATGAAATATTCTTTGAAACTTTAAAGAAAGAAAAAACCGCATTTAACGAACATTTTTTGGCATCCCTTGCGGGGAGCAACATATGTGTTCGCAAAAAATCGCCAGAAAATTGGAAGCTACGCAATCCCGGCTGAAAAACTTCTCCACCAACATACGGAAAACGGCAAAAAGCAAGCAAACAAAAGGTTTCTTCACTGCCAGAAAGAATCTCTTGGAAAGTTACTGGACGCAGTACAAGGAAGCTCGAGAAGATTTGTTGGCCAATATTTATGACGGTGCAAAGGTGGAAGTGAGTGACACAATAAAAGCGTTAGTTAGCGAAGACAGTTACATGGAAATTGAAATAATTTATTCGGAAATGATGGGAGAGCTAATCGATGAGTTAGAAAGCACTGAAGTTATAGAATCTCCAGGTAATAACGAAACTGTAATTAAAGGTGTGTCAAGCATGGAACTGACGTCTAATTTACCACGTATTAAAATTCCGTCGTTTGATGGTAATTATCTGCACTGGTACGCATTTAAGGATTTATTCACGTCAGTTGTATCAAATAACGTTGCATTGTCTAATACACAGAAACTTCAATATTTAAAAGATGCGTTAGTGTTGGACGCTCAACACGCCCTAGACAACATTACTACAACAGATGCACATTGGGCAGTAGCATGGAGTTTACTCGTCCGCAAGTATGAGAACAAGAGGATCATTCTTAATGCGTATTTAAAACAAATTGTTAATTTAACAACGGTGTCTGATGGTTTACCAAATAGTTTACGCTTGTTATGTGACACCATCACGTCAGCTGTGCGTGCGTTAGAGCAATTGGGTCGTCCAGTGCAGCATTGGGACGATTGGTTGGTCTTTACCCTTCTCCAAAAATTAGACACGAAAACACGCTCAGCTTGGGAGCTGTCAACAACCAGTTTAGAACAAATTCCAAAATTTGAGGAGCTGGTCAGTTTCTTAGAAAATCGAATACATTCGCTGGAGGTAGTTAATAGCATGACCGATAACTCTAATCAGGAGAAAAAGTTTGTAACACCTATCAGAACAAAGGGGTTCGTGAAAAGCCATCATACCACTGTTCAACAATGCGTGCATTGTCAAGGTAAGCATTTACTGGCATATTGCGCAGAATTTCGGCAAATGACTGGGACAAAGAGATATGAGGTAGTCAGATCTGCAAGATTGTGTTTCAATTGTTTGAGAACGGGACACATGGGTCATAATTGTCCATCGAAATATCGGTGTCTGCGATGTAATGCAGCGCATCATACATTACTACATGACCATAGTGGAAGTGGTGGAGAAACTAATTACTCAAATATACCGGAAAAGACCACTGAAGCGACTAAGAAATACGCTGTCACATCAAATAATACATACATTTCCAGTGCTAATCAAGGTGCTCGAACTTTACATCTACAGACTGTTTTAATTGGCACTGCATTGATAGAGGTAAGGAGTCCTTCTGGTCAGAAGCTTATTGTGCGAGCTCTTTTGGATAGCGCGTCGGAAGCAACGTTTGTCAGCGAATTCATCGTGCAGCGGTTAAAACTGGACAAAACAAATGTCATAGTGCCGGTGAGTGGTGCAAATGGTGAAAGGGTCGCCAATTCAAGAGGAATGGTTTCATTTACAATCCATTCGTTAAAATCCGATTTCAACATGAATTGTGTTGCACTAATACTTCCACGAGTGGGTAGCGTTACCCCAACCATTCCCATACCGAAAGAAGCGCTTGGTGAGTTCATGAATTTAGATTTAGCTGATCCTCAATTACAGGTTCCGGGGGCAGTCGATATGATTTCGAGCGCTTCAGATTATGCTGCTATTGTCTATGAGCGACTAAAACGGCATCCAACTAACAATATTGTTGCCCAATATACGCAACTCGGTTGGGTAATTTTTGGTGGACTGTCGCGACGAAAGGGTATTTCAGTGAAAGGACAAGTTAATTGCTGTCATACTCGGGCAACATTGCACGAAATGCTACATAAAATTTGGGAATTGGAAGAAATAACAAACCACGCTCCGTTAACAAAAGATGAAATGTACTGTGAAGATTTTTTTGAGCGTACAACTGTACGCAACGCAACGGGTCGATATGTGGTTAGACTACCAATCAAGCAGAAAGCTGATTTGGCAACACTTAAGTCAAGTAAACTAAATGCACTTGCATTATTAAACAGCACGTTACAGCGATTAACCCGAGATCCGGATATGTACAAACTCTACCAAGATTTCATGGACGAATATCAGACCTGTGGCCATATGGAAGTGGTGCCACACTCGTATGATGTAGCTTCAACATGTTATCTTCCTCACCATGGTGTCTATAAAGCATCGAGTTCTACAACGAAGCTTCGCGTAGTCTTCAGTGCTTCTAATAAATGTTTGAGCGGAATATCTCTTAATGATTGTCTGCATATAGGTCCCAGATTACAAAATGATCTATCAAATATCATCTTGCAATGGCGGCATTACCCTATAGTGTTTACAGGAGATATCGAGAAAATGTACAGGCAAATTCTTGTTGATAGCAAAGATGTGGATTTGCAACGAATAATGTGGCGCGTTCGACACGGGGACGCCCCTACAACGTTCCGGTTGCTCACTGTAACATATGGGACTAATTGTGCTCCATATCTTGCCATCAAAGTATTGCGTACTCTGGCAAAAGAGGAGCAAACTCGTTTTCCACGGGCAGCTGAATCGATTCTAAATGAATTTTACATTGATGACGTACTATCAGGTGGAGACACTCCAATCGAAGCTGCAGAAAAATTGCACGAACTTCAGGAGCTTCTAGCAACTGCAGGCTTCACTTTACGTAAATTTAATTCGAATTCAAATGACGTTTTAAGCACTCTGACTGAGGACGTAAAAGCTCACGCCGACGATGTGGAAATTAACACCGAGTATAAAACTAAGACACTTGGTCTTACTTGGTATACAAAATCCGACAGTTTTGGTTACAACGTCAATGTAACTTGTGACAACCATCATTACACAAAACGACTAATGTTGTCTGACATATCGAAGTTATTTGATCCACTTGGGTTCTTGGCTCCGGTTATCATTCGAGGAAAGATGTTTCTGCAACAACTCTGGCGTACTGGATCCGATTGGGATGATCCCTTGTCAATAGAGATGGCAAACATTTGGCATAACTTTCGTATTGACTTACAACAATTACATCACATTCGAATCCCACGTTGGATAAACACCACTTCGACAAGTGCAATTGAATTACACGCATTTGGTGATTCATCAAATCAAGCATATGCGGCTGCAGTGTATGCGAAAACAACCATCGGTACGACCAGTTTTGTAAATTTGCTTATTAGTAAAACTAAGGTAGCCCCGTTGAAAGAAACGTCTATACAACGTTTAGAATTATGTGCAGCATTGCTAGCAGCAAAACTTCTACACAAGGTAAAAGGAACATTTAAGTGTCAACCATCACGCTGTATTTTGTGGACTGATAATACAACCACACTGTGGTGGATTAGAACTGATCCAGGCAAATTGAAGCAGTTTGTGGCAAACAGAGTGTCACAAATTCAGTCAATGACAAATATTGAAGACTGGAGGTATATTGCAACAAAAGATAATCCGGCTGATTGTGCATCACGAGGCAGTACCGTTTTGCAACTAAAAGATAATCTGATGTGGTGGTATGGACCATCTTGGCTTCGCTTAAATGAGAAAATGTGGCCTAACCACCAAATCAATCATACTCCTGACAGTTTACCTGAGAAAAAAGAGATTAACTCATTAACTACGCAGTTATCAACAGAAGTGTGAGAAATATTTGGACGATATGCTACTCTTGACAAATTACTCGTAGTCGTGGCGCAATGCCTACGTTTTATTCATATGTGTCAAAAAAGGATGCGTAGGGATGAAAGTTTCTGCACTTGGCAAGAACGTTATACGGTTCTTAAAAAATTAGTAACAATTGTACAAAGGACCGAGTTTACCAACGATTATGGCGCTTTACGGAAAGGCAATCCAATCAACAAATCAAGTAAATTGTTTAAATTGAATCCGAAGCTTGATTCCGACGGAATTATGCGTCTAAATGGACGACTGCAAAATGCGAATATTCCTTCAGATGAACGATGTCCAATGATATTACCCAAATGTCATGATTTTACTACGTTGATTATTAATCACGCTCATAGTCGAACATTACATGGCGGAACTCAAACAACATTAACATATGTGCGACGGCAATTTTGGGTTATTGAAGGAAGATCCGCTGTGAAGAGAGTGATTAACAAATGCATTACATGTTTTCGTCAAGCCTGTCGACCGCAAGCACAACTTATGGGTAACTTACCTCCAGCACGGTGTAATATATCACAGCCATTCATGCACACGGGCGTGGATTATGCTGGTCCATTTAATGTGAGAGCGACAAGAGGGAGAGGCCATCGTACTTACAAGGGGTATGTGGCTCTATTTATATGTTTTATTACACGAGCTATTCATTTGGAACTTGTGAGTGATATGACATCTGAAACATTTCTAGCAGCGTTAAAGCGATTTGTATCAGTCCGTGGCATATGCTCAGATATGTACAGCGATCGTGGTACATCCTTTGTCGGTGCTGATGCTTTAATGAAAGATGAAATTAAATTATTTAAAAAACAAATTGAAGCTGGGTCTGTGTTTGCATCAACCGTTGGCATAAATTGGCACTTTATACCACCCGCAGCGCCTCATTTTGGTGGCCTATGGGAGGCAGGAGTAAAAAGCATGAAATTTCATCTTAAGCGTGTAGTAAACACGGCAACTTTAACTTTTGAAGAATTTTACACGTTATTAAAACAAGTCGAAAATTGTTTAAATTCGCAGCCGCTTACGGCTCTATCTGATGACCCCACAGACTTATCAGCGTTGACACCAGGACACTTTTTGATTGGACGAGCACCATCTGCCGTACCTGAACCTAATTTGCTAAATACAAAGATTGGTGTACTATTCCGATGGAAGATGTTAAGCCAGATGTATCAAGACTTTTGGCGCCGTTGGTCCCAAGAATATTTAACACAATTACATGCCAGAAACAAATGGACTAAAAGCCAAACAAATGTCGCAACCGGTCAACTGGTCCTACTTCGAGATGAACGATTGCCTCCAAGCTCCTGGTTGCTTGGCCGCATTATCCAAGTCCATCCTGGCACGGACGGTGCTGTTCGTGTCGTAACCATAAAAACACAGTCCGCCATTGTGAAACGGCCAATTACGAAGATCTCTGTTTTACCAATCGACATTGAAGGACGTCCTGAAGCACACGAGTAATATAGACGCAAGATCCGGTTGTATCTCCACGTCTAGGTGGGAGAAATGTTTAAAATTATCTATATCAATCTGGCAACCACTGTGTGTGGGCTGCTTTTAATGGTTAGCAAGTTTTTTCATTCTTCTTGTTGTACGAGCATCCGTCGTGTTCGGTTGTGTTTCGTGTTGTGCAGTAAATTTGTTTGAGTTTTGTTCTAATTACATTTAAAAATATGTTTTATATGATAAGTAATATTAGAGATAAATAAATGAAATATTCTTTGAAACTTTAAAGAAAGAAAAAACCGCATTTAA